GTAAAGTGATAAATCTATGCATTATTGGCATTTCTGAGGTAGGAGAAACTAAGCAACTTGAAAACGTATTTGAGGATATAATTCAAGGAAATTTCCTCAATCTTGCTAGAGAAGTCAACATGCACATACAAGAAATCCAGAGAATTCTTGGAAGAATACTATATAATATGACCATCTTCAAGGCACACAATCATCAGACTATCCAAGGTCAATGTGAAAGAAAAAATCTTAAAGGCAGCTAGAGAAAACAGTCATATTATCTATAAAGGGAAACCCACCAGACTAACAGCAGGCTTCTCAGCAGAAACCATACAAGCCAGAAGACATTGGGGGACTATTTTTAGCATTTTTAAAGAAAAGAAATGCCAACCAATAATTTCATATCCCACCAAACTATACTTCATAAATGAAAGAGAAATAAATTCTTTCTCAGATAAGCAATTGCTAAAACAATCCATCACCACCAAACTAGACCTACAAGAGATACTTAAGAGAGTTCTAAACATGAAAACAAAAAGATGATCCTTGTTACCCTGAAAGCACATGCAAGCACATAGCCCACAGGCCCTAAGCAGTGACAGAATCAATACTACAAAGCAACCAGTTAATAACACTATAAAAGGAATAAAACTTTACATATCAATATTAACTTTTGCATAGTCAAAGTTAATATTGATATGTGAGGTTTTATTCTGTCATAGTTTTAACATAAAATATTAAGTTTGGCCATGCAAAGTTAATATTGATATGTAAGGTTTTATTCTTGTCATAGTGTTTTAACACTCCATTTAAAAAGCAAAAAGTGGCAAATCAGACTAAAAAAATTCTATCTTCAAGATACCCATCTCACTTGTAATGACACCCATAGGCTAGGCACAAAGTAAATGGATACAGAAAGATCTATCATGCAAATAGGAAACAAAAAAAGAACAAGGATCACTATTCTAATATCAGAAAAAATAGACTTTAAACAACAACGGTATAAAAGGACCAAGAAAGGCATTACATAATGATAAAGTGTTCAATAAGAAGACTTCAATAAGAATGTATATATATTTAGAATGTATACATATATACATTCTAAATATATATACATTCAACATTGGAGGATGCATATTTATAAAATAATTGCTTTTAGACCTATGAAAAGACTTTCACAGCCAATAATAGTGGGGAAATTCAGCACATGAGTGAAAGCAATAGGCAAAAAAACTAACAAAAAATTTTGTATTTAATAAATTTGATAGTTGGCCAATTGGACCTAATAGACATATATAGAATATTCCACCCAACATTTACAGAATATGCATTCTTCTCATCTGCACATGATACATATTCCAAGATTGAACACATACACAGTCATAAAGCAAGTCTTAATAAATTTCAAAAAATCAGAATCATACGAAGCATCTTCTCAGACCACAGTGGAGTAAAAACAGAAATCAATAGCAAGAGGAATTCTTAAAACCACACAAATACAGGAAACTAATCAACTTGTTCTTGAATGACTTTAAAATAAACAAAAAAATTAAGGCAGAAATCAAAACGTTATTTGAAACAAACAAAAATAGAGACACAACATATGATAACCTCTAGAGTGCAGTAATGGCAGCATTAAGAGGAAAGTTTACAGCACTGAATGTCTACATCAAGAACATAGGTCTGAAATTAACAACCTAACCTCGCACCTAAAAAAACCAGAGAAAACAAGAACAAAACTAAACCTAGAGCTAGCAGAATAAAAGAAATAACTAAAATCAGAACAGAATTAAATGAAATTGAGACCCATAACAACCATACAAAGGATATACAAAATGAAAACCTGGTTCTTGTAAAGGATAAAAAAAAAGACTGATATACTGCTAGCTAGATTAACAAGAGAGAAGATATGAATAAGCACAATCAGAAATGACAAAAGTGACATCACAACCAATCCCACAGAAACATAAAAGATCCTCAGACACTACTGTGTACATCTCTGTGCACAAAAACTAGGAAATCTAGAGGAGATGCATAAATTTCTGGACACACACAACCTCCCAAGATTAAACCAGGAAGAAACAGAAATCCTGAAGAGACCAATAACATATAATGAAGTTGAATCAGTAATAAAAATCCGAATATCCAAAAATAGCCCTGAACCAAATGGATTCACAGCTGAATTCTGCCAGATATACAAGTAAGAGCTGATAGAGATCCTACTGAAATTATTCCAAAAAAAAAAAAAAAAAAAATTCAAGGAGGAAGAACTCCTCTCTAATTCAAAACCAGTATCATTCTGATACCAAAATCTGGCAAAGACACAACAACAACAACAACAACAAACCCTATATGCCAATATCTCTCTGATGCACCCAGATGCAAAAGTCCTCCACAAAATATTAGCAAACCACACTCAATCAATGAGATACTATCTCACACCACTCAGAATGGCTAGCGTATTAAAAAAATAAAAAAGTAACAGATGTTGGTGAGACTGTGGAGAAAAGGGAACGTTTGCACACTGTTGGCAGGAATGTAAATTAGTTCAGCCCCTGTGGAAAAGAGTTTGGAGATTTCTCAAAGAACTAATAATAGAACCACCATTTGACGCTGCAATCTCACTACTGAGTGTATACCCGAAGGAAAATAAACCATTCTACCAAAAAGACACCTGCACTTATACGTTCATCACAGCACTATTCACAAGAGCAATGACATGGTATCAACCCATATGCCCACCAATGGTGGGTTGGATAAAGACAATGTGCTACATATATACCAGGAAATACTATACAACCATAAAAAGATGAAATCATGTTCCTTGCAGCAACATCAATGGAACTGGAGGCCATTATTCTCAGTGAATTGAAACAGAAACAGAAAACCAAATACCACATGTTCTTACTTAAAAGTGAGAGCTAAACATTGGATGCACGTGGACACAAATATGGAAACACTAAACATTGAGGATTCCAAAAGGGTGGGAGGAGGGAGGTGAGCAAATGTTGAACAATTCCCTATTAGTCCTATGTTCACTACGTGGGCAGTGGGATCATTAGAAGCCCAAACCTCAGCTTCACGCAATTTATCCATTAACAAGCCTGCACATGTACTCCCTGAATCTAAAATAAAAATAAAATAAGAAAATACAACAAAGAGATCCCTCTACTCCCCTCACAGGACTAGTCATTGTATCACTTCTTTTGGTACAGTTCATAAACTCTAACCCTTTATTCTTTTTCCCCTCCTTCTGATCTCTCTTTCCACATTTTCACGTTCAGTGCTGTATCCCTTTCTCATTTTTCCGTATTATAGTCTCACCTGCTAGAGCAATTAGTTTTTTTCTTATTTAGTTTAAATTCCAAAATTGAATTTTCTAATCAGATTCACATTATCACTTTTGAATCTCTTATACTTGGTCTTCAGAAGTCCTGAATGTGAAATCCAAACCTTCTTTCCATTCATTGTATTCTTTCTAACAATAACAAAATTGTATCTTTGAATACTTGTTATAGATACATTCCTCATTCTGTCTGCCTTCCGATTTTCATTACAATTTATCATGTAGTCATTTTTTAGTTTTTGGTTGTTGTGTAGCCTAATCTGTCAGCCATTTCCTTCCAATAAAACAATTCAGGAGCATATCCTTTATCTGTGCTGGGATATGGAGATTACATAATATATTTGGGGTTCAGATTTGTTTACTTCAACAAATATTAAGCATGACTACACTAGGTAGAGTAGATATATTAAAGAATAGCTCCTGACCTTAAGAAGCCTGCAACTTTTGGAGAAAAACAAAGACATGCGTAAATAATTTGGATATTATACAGCAAATACAGCGAGAGACATGTATCAGCACATGAGAGCACAGAGGAAGGTATTAAATGCATCTTGGAAGGCAGGAAAATGAGGAAATGCATCCAGAAGCAGAAGAAAGAGGCAGCTGGGGAGGAAAGAGGAAAATAGATTTTCTAGACAGAAAAAAAATCCAGCAGTTGTGTACAATAATATGATGAAGACCTAAATTAGTGCAATCAATTGATAAAAAGGAAAAAGCTTAAAAAATACTCAGAATATAAAATCAGCACAGTATGGTGATGGTGATTGATTGGAGGCATTACCTAACTATACTGGGGAAAGACTGGCACAGCAAGAGAACAGGGAAGCGATGTGCATTCATATTGATAGGCTGAGGCTGAGCTGCTAATTGGAATGTCAAGTGGAATAGATAGTAGAGAGTCTAAATTTAATGGGGAAATTTAGGGATGAAGATAAAACCTGAAGATGCATGAGAATGCTTATGATAGCTAAAATTTTGTACTTACTTGGAGTTTCCCTAGGAATTTTTTAAGTGCCTTTGGAGACTCAGAGAAACTGTCTTGTTCTATTAATTCCTTTGCCTCCTTTCACTGGTGTTCTCCACTAAATTATAAACTCCCTGAAGATTCATGTCATGGTTTCTTTACCTTTATATCTCTCATGTCTCCTAGCATAGTGCATTACTCTTAGAAGACAGTAAGCACTCAATAAAGTTTATTATTGAAAGGTCCTCAGTAGCATGAACATATAACTAATAGGAAGACTAAACTTATGTGGAACACCAGTGGTCAACAAAATACCTATATGCAGATGTTCCATTAATAGATAAGTCTTTCTGAGACGACTAAAGCAAAGAGAAAGAGGTCTGACATTTATGACATGACTTTCAGATTTAAAGCACTCAAATAGTTGTTAAAAAGAACAGATCTCTGTTTAATTACCTCCAACCTATGGAGGTATCAGATCACATTCGGAAAGCCTTAAACATGGCATCTGAGCAATAGGAATTTCTTCCATATTCTTCCACCCAATTAAAACGGGGTGAGTACTAAAAAGATGGAGACATATCTACTGAAATATAAATTTAAAAAACAGGCATTTTATTCACTTTGGGACAAGACGAAAAAGACTTAGATAATTATTTTAATTCAATTAGGAAAATTGAAAGCACCATTATTTTCGACTGAGATAATGTCTTTATTCCTAAAGGTTGTATGTGTGTGTGTATAGTTTGTTTTGTCTCTCTTTTTTTTTTTTTTGTAAAACTCTCCTTAGGGAATATTGCAGTGATTGTTTTTCTTGATGTAAAAACTAAAGCATGGAGAAATTCCAATGAAAAGGACAAACTAACATCTGATTCCACATTATTTCTAATTCTCAATCACAATATCTTGATAGGATAGAGGTGTTTTGTAGCAGATTAAAAGGCTTTTTTTTCCTGAGATTGTTTTTACTTAATTTCTTTTGAAGAGTTGATTTTAATTTTTAAAATTGTCATTTAAATGCTAAGTTCTGTATTAGGAGAAAATAATCTAGAAAAATCTAAAGACAAGTGTATCGCCTAAGGTAAAGCATCAGAAAGCATACTTTAAAGAGGGTTTGCTGTGGAAGACCCTTCAATTCAGTAATATTCAGGATAGGAAAAAAGGTTAGGCTACAATATCCCTGAGTGTCAATTTCATGCTCTGGAGCGCTTAGGTAATTTTACAGAGTATGGCAAAGTGATAAAAGTTCAGGAGGTCCATCATCTATGACTACTCCTGTAGAAATACAGGAGAAACTGTAATTACATCCTCAGAAACTTATGCTTTCAAGTAAAAGGCAAATAAAATTAGTAAAATAGCTTCACGCAACTCATGGCTATCCAGAGGCAGCTTTATTCAATGAAAGTGCTCTCACTACTGGTTCACAGCAAAAGTTCCCATGACAACCAAGACTACACAGTACAATGGTGATCCTGTTTTCCCAGGGATATCCTGTCATCAATATAAATAAGTAGATAACAATATCTCGTCTGTAGGTACTATGATTAACAGCTGTCTATAAATGACAACTGCAGAGTAGAATGGAATGCTCAGAACTGAGTTTATTCCAAGTTCAATTAACTTAAAATTTTATTTCCTTACTTTCTAAAAACATCAGAGTATGTGTTTCTAAATTATTCTACTATGTTTCACTATAATTTTCAAGTTTGGTTTCATCCTGCATTATGACCTTTCAGTGAGCTGGAACAGTAATGTGTCCCCAGGTATGGTGAGTAAGCCCACCTGAAGTGGAAGGTGGTTTACTTTCTTGATACGAGCAAAGGCTATTTTGGAGTTGAAACTCTCCAGAACAGTTAAAATGTATTTATTTCTAAAGGTTCTTAAGTGTAAAGGAACATACATAGGATTGTAAGCATATTTCTCTACTAGAAGTCTTATAATATTTCTTATCTGTTATTCTGTATTCCCGTTTCCTGAAATACTGTGAACTTCTTAAGACAAAACAAAATATCATTTATTTTTATATATTGGGTCTAGGATGAGTTAGGGAAACAACAAAATACTTGTTAAATGAACCAAAAAATAACAAATAAAAATATGCAAACAATAAATGTAATAGCATGTGCTAAATGTAATGTGTACCAGAATTAACAGTTGGCCTATGAGAGATACAGAGTAATATAGGGCCCATTTGAATCCTAACACTGATTTGTCATCCTGTTTAAGAAGGTTACATACTATAGTATTTCATAATATAGTTGAACAAAGTATCTGTTATATACATATGCAAATTAAGCCACAATCCATTTTGCATTTGTAAGAAATTGAGTATTATTTTAAGTAATTTGAAGGTAACACAGTTCTTACAATTTACCTAACTGAGGTTCAAAGGGAAAGTCCAACATCTCAACCCAGTTAAATCTGGCTAACTAGTGTGTGCCAATCAATATAAACACATGCTTTAAAAAAGCTACCCTAGTTCTCATTCCTAGGAAACGTCAGTTGTGTAGCACTGGGGTTCATTTCTGTTCTCATATATTTTCATTTCTGTAATAAAAAATCGATGTCCATTTTTTGATGTGTCACTGCTGATAGCTTTAAAGTGTTATACCTCTCTCTTCCCCTCTGTCCTACATTTGGGAAAACTGTTAAGAAAGCCCATGTGTTCTCTCCTTTGGTGATGGTGGGAAATTCAAACCACACCAGAGTCCGCCCACACAGAACTCTCAGCACAGCCTCACCCACTAAAAGTCATACAATCTCAAGCCAGTCATTTCCCCCCGCTCTCTCAAGCTATTTGAAACCTTCTTGGGAGGCCTGCTCTGCTCTCCCCAGAAAACCTCACAATTTTATAAGCAATAAATATTTTCATACTTTCTTGGTAGGTGTGTATGTGTGTGTGTATGTGTGTGTGTGTGAAAGTGAGAGAGAGAGAAGGGTAGGGTTGCTCATTAGTCTTAACATTTGAACCACATTTTAGATGGAGGCTTATCTGAATCCACACAATGGATACAACAGTTTCATCTCCTAAATCTTGGCTATTTGGTTCTCCTCTTCTGCTCCCTTCTTTGGGAGGGAAGTAAAAAGCTAAAATATGCATTCCCAGGTTATGCACAGAAGCTAGCCTAAGACAACTGCAGCTTTAATAGAGCAAAAAGAACTCAGAGGAGAGTGCAGAAGTGATATTATTATTAGCAGAAGTTGAAAACATCCACCTGCCTATAATCCCAGCACTTTGGGAGGCCGAGACGGGCGGATCACGAGGTCAGGAGATCGAGACCATCCTGGCGAACACGGTGAAACCCCATCTCTACTAAAAATACAAAAAACTAGCCGGGCGAGGTGGCGGGCGCCTGTAGTCCCAGCTACTCCGGAGGCTGAGGCAGGAGAATGGCGTAAACCCGGGAGGCGGAGCTTGCAGTGAGCTGAGATCCGGCCACTGCACTCCAGCCTGGACGACAAAGCGAGACTCTGTCTCAAAAAAAAAAAAAAAAAAAAAAAGAAAACATCCACCTGCCTAAATCTGAGTTGGCTCTGGCATCAACAGTCTTTCCAGAATACGTTCTAACAGCATTATTAGCAGAGGGTGCTGAGAAGAGCAGATTACTCTTATGCCTACATTAGATTGGCCTCTTGCAGTGCATTAATATAAGGGTATGTGGCAACATTTTCAAGATGAATGTTAAGGACATTAACATGGGCAGGGAAAGTAGGCTTTCTACACTTAAACAGCACATTCTCAAGAGAAAAAGTGTCAACCTATGGCTTATTCATAACACAATAGCTGTTTAAACTACAGCTTAGAATCTACTAAGTGCCAAGCACTGTGCTAAGCAGTTTACATTTTGCATATGTCATTATAAAATATATCCTTATTAGTGCCATTTTACTGTTGGAAACTAAAAACAGATCCTAATACATCCAGCAGTTGTTAGAGATAGAATTTCAACTCCGATTTCCCCCATATTCAATGTCTATATTCTGATGCACTCATTCTAAGACTTCAGATTTACATTGTTAAGACTATGAATTTTTTTGCTTCCTGATGATTTCTGAATGTCTAATAGGCCTTTATGAAGTTAAGTAGCTGGCAAGCTTAGGAAAGAAACACATTTTTTTCTACTGGAATTAGGGAGATATCTGTCATAGCTGATAGATGAAATATATAAAAACGCTACATGGTATCCATTATTCATTTTAGCTCCACTGCCCTAAAGAAACATAACACCATGAATTTAGATGCAGCAAGACAATGGAATAAATGCTTTTAATTCTTTTCAATAATTATGTCAAAACAAATATTCTGGGAACTATGAGAAAGTAGAAAGAGTAGAAGTCATGTTGTTGACTTCTACGTGCTTACAATATACCTAACATATGGCTCAGTAGTTTGTTTTTAATAATTTGAAACACTGATTTGCTACATTAATATAAATGGTTTCACATTACAAGTAAGATAAGTGTTTTAAAGTAGTAACTTTTCAAGACTTCATTTTTTAGAGAAGTGAGATTCACAGTGAAATTGTGAAGGTATGCAGATTTCCCATATGTAACATACTAGTTTTTAAGCACTAATTTTAATAATTCTTATGTCCTGAGTTAGCATTTAAGTTTATTTTATACCCTTAGTCTCTGGAAAAAAAATGCTTTTGCTTAAAATAGCTTATTGACTAAGAATCCATCATTTCAAAGAAAATTATGCATGATCAACAGGTACATAGTTTAAATGGATAACAGCAGGGGGAGCTCAAAGACAGGTTGGACAAATTAAAAGTTGACTTCACGAATACTGAAAAATTATTTTAATAAAATTTTGAAGAGAAGAAGGAAGAATATATTATTAAATTATTAGATATTTTATACAATAATTTCCAGCAAAATAGCTAGCTAAATAGAGGAATAGTTTCCCATACAAAACACTTCAAAAGTCCACAAAAAAAACTAATGCACAGAATCACTAGACATCAGGGAAATGAAAATTAAAATTACAATGAAATATCACTACATATTACTCAACTAGAATGGTTAAAATGAGAAAGATAGATAATACGAAGTGCTGACAAGAATGTGGAGCTTTTAGAAAATAGACAACATTGGTTGGACTCTAAACGAAGAAGCTACTTGAGAAAACTGTTAGTCTTCAAAAAATGCATGCCTCATAATCAAGCAATTCCACTTCTGGCTATATATCCATCAGAAATATATACACATTATACAAAAAGAGGTATACAATGATGTTCACAGCAGCATGATTTGTAATAGTTTCAAATTTAAAAAAACAAATATTTACCAACAATAAAATGGGTCGGGTACAGTGGCTCACACCTGTAATCCCAGCACTTTGGCAGGCTGAGGCGGGTGGATGACTTGAGTTCAGGAGTTTGTGACCAGCCTGGCCAAAATGGTGAAACCCTGTCTCTAATAAAAATACAAAAATTAGCCGGTGTGGTGGCAGGTGCCTGTAGTCCCAGCTACTTAGGAGGCTGAGGCAGGAGAATTGCTTGAACCCTGGAGGCAGAGGCTGCAGTGAGCCGAGATCGTGCCACTGCACTCCAGCCTGGGCAAAGGAGTAGAACTCTTTCCCAAAAAAAAAAAAAAAAAAGAAAGAAAAAAAAAAAAAACAACAAAATGAATAAATAATTTATAACATATTCATATGAAGATGAAAATGAACTACAATTACATATATAAAGACAAATGTTGCTTTAGGCCCAGGAGTTTGAGTCTAGCCTGGGCAACAAAGCAAGACTCAGTCTATACAAAAAAATAAAATAAAACTAGCCAGGTGGGTTGTTATACGTCTGTAGTCCTAGCTACTTGGGAGGCTGAGGCAGGAGGACTGCTTGAGCCCAGGAGTTTGAGGCTGCAATGACTTATGACTATGGTACTGTACTACAGCCTGGGTGACACAGCAATACCCTATCTCAAAAAAAAAAAAAAAAAAAAAGAAAAAGAAAGATAACTTTTCCAAATACAATGTTGAGGAAAAGAAGCTAGAGAACAAAGAATACACTCTCTTTGGTAAATAATATGAATATTATCTTAGAAATCACAACAGTAGTTTCTTTGGGGTAGGGGCAGAATCTGAAAGGGGGGCTTCTACAGCTTAGTAATATTCTGCTTATTAATCTAATTGCTGCGTACATGGGTGTGTTATCTTCATGAAAATTTGCCACATTTAATATTTAGGTTTGTGTGCTTTTTCCTGTTATGGTATAATTCAACAAAATTTGCTCTAAAATTATACTGGATGATTGCTTTAAATCATTAAATTAAAAGTTTTTGAGGCTTGAAATTAAGAAAGTTCGGTCCCACAGGGATAACTACGAACTAGAATTGTTTTTTGTTTATTTGTTTGTTTGTTTGTTTCTTGAAGGCATTTACCAATCCTTTGGGTGCCAGGGCAAGAATCTAACCAAGTGGCCTAAACAGAGAAAGAACTCACATTCAGACTTCACAGAAAGTCTTACACCCAAAAGTCAATACCTATAAGTAGGCCTACTACATACAGTCTCCCATGCAGAACAAGACTTGTCTTGGTTTCAGGTAGCAAGTTTAAAGCAAATATTTCTTTTTTTTTTTTTTAATTTATTTATTATTATTAAACTTCAAGTTGTAGGGTACATGTGCACAACGTGCAGGTTTGCTACATATGTATACTTGTGCCATGTTGGTGTGCTGCACCCATCAACTCGTCATTTACATCAGGTATAACTCCCACAGGTATATCTCCCACTGCAATCCCTCCCTCCCCATGATAGGCCCCGTGTGTGATGCTCCCCTTCCCAGTCCAAGTGATCTCATTGTTCAGTTCCCACCTATGAGTGAGAACATGCGTTGTTTGGTTTTCTGTTCTTGCGATAGTTTGCTGAGAATGATGGTTTCCAGCTGCATCCATGTCCCTACAAAGGACACAAACTCATCCTTTTTTATGGCTGCATAGTATCCCATGATGTATATGTGCTGAGCATTTTCTTAATCCAATCTGTCACTGATGGACATTTGGGTTGATTCTAAGTCTTACATTAGAATAGTGCTGCAATAAACATAGGTGTGCATGTGTCTTTATAGCAGCATGATTTATAATCCTTGGGTATATACCTGCAATGGGATGGCTGGGTCATATGGTACATCTAGTTTCTAGATCCTTCAGGAATCGCCATACTGTTTTCCATAATGGTTGAACTACTTTACACTCCCACCAACAGTGTAAAAGTGTTCCTATTTCTCCACATCCTTTCCAGCACCTGTTGTTTCCTGACTTTTGAATGATCGCCATTCTAACTGGTGCGAGATGGTATCTCATTGTAGGTTTCTTATTTGCATTTCTCTGATGGCCAGTGATGATGAGCATTTTTTCATGTGTCTGTTGGCTGTATGAATGTCTTCTTTTGAGAAATGTCTGTTCATATCCTTTGCCCACTTTTTGATGGGGTTGTTTGTTTTTTTCTTGTAAATTTGTTTGAGTTCTTTGTAGGTTCTGGATATTAGCCCTTTGTCAGATGAGTAGATTGCAAAAATGTTCTCCCATTCTGTAGGTTGCCTGTTCACTCTGATGGTAGTTTCTTTTGCTGTGCAGAAGCTCTTTAGTTTAATGAGATCCCATTTGTCAATTTTGGCTTTTAAAGCAAATATTTCTTTCAAAAATTTCTAATCACAAGTGTATACTTGGGATATGTAATATGGCACTGGATATTTGCATGGCCCAAAAGTTGAACATTTGGTTTAAAGTAAATCTATAGTTAGCAGACACGCAGTTACTTAAATTATAAGCAAATCCTCTTTGGAAAAATACACTTTCAACACAGATAATTTCCAGAGATAAAATACTAAAAAGTATGAGCTCACATGTATAAAAAAATATATAGAGAATGCATAAAAAAATAAACTTCCCTGAGAGACAATCAGTGGAAATAAACTGCACAGGTAGACTAACAAGATTACAGATACTGGAACTATCAAGGAACTAAAATAAAATATTTAAGCTGCTTAAAGAAATGATAGAAAATTTAGTAAATGAGCAAAAGACCATAAAAATCAACACACATATTTAGAATAAAGACCAACAGAACTTCTAAAATTGAACGTCTAATAACTGAAATTAGAAATTCAACAAACAGGTGAAACAACAAATTAGACTCTGCTGAAGATTGAATTAGTGAGCCAGAAAACATATATGAATGAAACATTCAGAATGTAGTGGAAAAATACATGGAAAATGTGAAAGAGAGGTTAAGAGAGGTGAAAGACAGAGTGGAGCCAACATAAGTCTTACTAGGGTTGGGATAGATTAAAAGGAAAGGCAATGAGGCAATATTTGAAACAATAATAGCTGAGAATTTTCCAAAATAAATAAAAGACACTAACACTCATACGTAGGAATGCCAATACATTTTAAGTAAACTTTTGAAAAACCCAAATTCTGGACTCATTAGAGTGAAATTGTACAACAACAAAGATAAAAATAAGAATTTAAAAGCACCCAAAAAGAACAAAGTAACACTGGTCAGACTGAAAAGTGATTTCTCAAAAGACAAGTTAGTATTATATTTAAAGAGGAAGTCAAATTGTCCCTGTTTGCAGATGACATGATTGTGTATTTAGAAAACCCCATGGTCTCAGCCCAAAATCTCCTTAAGCTGATAAGAAACTTCAGCAAAGTCTCAGGATACAAAATCAATGTGCAAAAATCACAAGCATTCCTATACACCAATAACGGAGAAAAAGAGAGCCAAATCAGAAGTGAACTCCCATTCACAACTGCTTCAAAGAGAATAAAATATCTAGGAATCCAACTTACAAGGGATGTGAAGGACCTCTTCCAGGAGAACTACAAACCACTGCTCAGGGAAATAAAAGAGGATACAAACAAATGGAAGAACATTCCATGCTCATGGATAGGAAGAATCAATATCATGAAAATGACCATACTGCCCAAGGTAATTTATAGATTCAATGCCATCCCCATCAAGCTAGGAATGACTTTCTTCACAGAATTGGAAAAAAACTACTTTAAAGTTCATATGGAACCAAAAAAGACCCTGCATTGCCAAGATAATCCTAAGCCAAAAGAACAAAGCTGAAGGCATCACTCTACCTGACTTCAAACTATACTACAAGGCTACAGTAACCAAAACAGCATGGTACTGGTACCAGAACAGAGATATAGATCAATGGAACACAACAGAGCCCTCAGATATAATACCACACATCTACAACCATCTGATCTTTGACAAACTTGACAAAAACAAGAAATGGGGAAAGGATTCCCTATTTAATAACTGGTGCCAGGAAAACTGGCTAGTCATATGTAGAAACCTGAAACTGGATCCCTTCCTTACACCTTATACAAAAATTAATTCGAGATGGATTAGAGACTTAAATGTTAGACCTAAAACCATAAAAACCCTAGAAGAAAACTGAGGCAATACCATTCAGGACATAGGCATGGGCAAGGACTTTATGTCTAAAACACCAAAAGCAATGGAACAAAAGCCAAAATTGAGAAATGGGATCTCATTAAACTAAAGAGCTTCTGCACAGAAAAAGAAACTACCATCAGAGTGAACAGGCAACCTACAGAATGGGAGAAAATTTTTGCAGTCTGCTCATCTGACAAAGGGCTAATATCCAGACCCCACAAAGAACCCAAACAAATTTACAAGAAAAAATCAAACAACCTCATCAAAAAATGGGCAAAGGATATGAACAGACACTTCTTAGAAGAAGACATTTATGCAGCCAACAGACACATGAAAAAATGCTCATCATCACTGGCCATCAGAGAAATGCAAATGAAAACCACAATGAGATATCATCTCACACCAGTTAGAATGGCGATCATTCAAAAGTCAGGAAACAACAGGTGCTGGACAGGATGTGGAGAAATAGGAACACTTTTACACTGTTGGTGGGACTGTAAACTAGTTTAACCATTGTGGAAGACAGTGTGGTGATTCCTCAAGGATCTAGAACTAGAAATATCATTTGATCCAGAGATCCCATTACTGGGTATATGCCCAAAGGATTATAAATCATGCTGCTATAAAGACACATGCACACGTATGTTTATTGTGGCACTATTTACCATAGCAAAGACTTGGAATCAATCCAAATGTCCATCAGTGACAGACTGGATTAAGAAAATGTGGCACATGTACACCATAGAATACTATGCAGCCATAAAAAGGATGAGTTCGTGTCCTTTGTAGGGACATGGATGCAGCTGGAA